GATGCACTGGGGCCTCCCGGCACCAGGAGGCGCCGGGAGGACCAGCGGCGTGAGCTGATTCGCGAACCCCTCCTCTACTATCAGCCCCTTTGTCCGCCCCGACGTTCGACGTGCGACGCGCCTGGTAAGGACCCGCGCCACCATCCAGGGTACCCTTTGTGCCCTGGCCTCTGTGGCCCGTCTTTTGCCGCTTTCAGTGGGCGCCCGCCGCCCCCCCCCAAAAAATCCAACTTCGGCCTCCAAGGGTCCTGCGGCCTTACCACCCGCCCTTAATGCGCGTTCTGACTGTGCTCGCATCGTGGGAATCACGATGGGTAGTTTGTGTTTTTGTTCGCCCTTGCTGGCTCGCGAAAGAGGGGGACTTCGCCAGGCTCCGGGGCTGTCGACAAAAAACTGAGGCCCTCGACCCTCGGCTGCACGTGAGCGCAGTCGATTGTTGACTCAGTCTCCGAGTTCCGCCCGCAGAATTTGGTCGGTCAGAGAATGGGGGAAACTCTGGGAAACTCTGGGAAACTCTGAGAAGGGGGCTAATCGGACGCACCCCTGTCGAAGATAAATACTTCCATCATAAATCCCCGGGTTGTGCCCAACATGGTTGGTCCAGTCGAGAACCCCCCAAATTCGGGGATTGGGGTCGCCATATGCACCGTTCGCCGGAGTGATCTTCCCTGGGGCCCATGTAATTAACGGATCTGTTCGACTCTATTCGGGTCAAGGTCGGTGTAAGTCGAGGAGGAGGAGGAGGAGGATGAGGAGGGAAAAGAGGAGGATGAGGAGGAGGAGGAGGAGGAGGAGGAGGAGGAGGAGGAGGAGGGGGTGAGGAGGAGGAGGAGGAGAAGGGGAGGGGGAGGGAGGAGGAGGAGAGGAGGGAGGAGGAGGGAGGAGGAGGAGGAGGGAGGAGGAGGAGGAGGAGGAGGAGCAGCAGCAGGAGGAGCAGGAGGAGCAGGAGGAGGAGGAGGAGGAGGAGGGGGAGGGGGAGGAGGAGGAGCAGGAGGAGGAGGAGCAGGAGGAGGAGTGGGAGGAGCGAGCAGCTCCAGACAGGCCTCCCAGAACCAGCGCCGAAGCTGCCCAGATCTCCGACGGTATGATTGTTGACATTCTCAGGGATCTGCCCCGTCGCCGGAGTGAGCTCTCGTTCACGGCTTTCGATGGGCGCGCGGGGTGGTGGGTGGGCCAAACCCAGGCGCGCAGGTCGCCAACCTCAGGGGAGCACGAAGTCGTGAAACTGATGCGTTTCCTTCTCTCCCGGATTTCCAGTTGTTCCATGCGGGGGCGAACCATGAGGGCCGTTAGATGTTGGGAATGTTTTGATGGGTTACTGTGAGCCAATCGCATCATGTTGGGGGCCCCCAGATGGTGCGGTGACCACACCGTGTGGTGAGTCAGTGGGGATGCGGGTTGGCTGCACGGCTTTGAGTAAGACGAGGAGGACCTTCTCGGTCTGGGGGGGGGGCTCCCGACAATACGATGACCGATGACGACTCCCCTCCGCACACCAGGCTGCCACGACAACGATGGCCACGACGAGGACGACAGTCCACCCCCGCGCCCAAGCAGGCATACGACGGCAGGGGCCCACGAGGTAGAGGTCTACCAGAACCCCACCGCAGGTAATTCACTGCGACCTGCGCAGCACAGTGATGACATCGACCGCACGGGAGGCAGCACGAACTCGACCCCCCCCCCCCCCGACGCAGACAGCCACACCCCGGCCCACATCTGCGCCACCAGCGCCATCCACACGGGAGAAGATCTGCGTCTGGTAGGCGAGGGATCGCGGACTGCGCCCGATGGGCTGGTGTCGCCGCCCCCGCCCGCAGGGCTGGCCAGTGCTGCGGCGCACCCCGCCCCCCAACGCCGCGCTTCCTGCCACCAGGCATACCCCCCGACCCACCAGGGAATGGCGGCCAGGCCACAGCCACCACAGGGCCGCGAAGCCGCGCTCAGCGCCAGTATCACGGCGCTTCAGCGACGTGCCTCCAGCCGCGCACATACGCCTAGTGACATCCAGGCAGGAAGAGTCCGGACCCCTTCTGGACAGGCTCCAGAGAGCACAGTCCGCCTTGTGACGCTCCACAACAGACCTTCCCTATGCCTACCCTCCCTGGGGGCCCTCCCCGGGAACGCCTCCAGGCGCGGCTTCTTGCTGCTCACCGCTTGCACACGAGTGCTGGCTACCTCCTTCCTTCCGCACTTCGTGCCCTGCCAGGGCTCCTGGCAACCAGCTCCGTTGTCCCAGCACTGGGCCGCTGAGGGGGGGGGGCCCCAAGGCGGCGCCTGCACTTCGCAGGTCTCCCGGGCGCGCATGCCCAAGCGAGCTGAGAGCCGGAGCTTCCTTTCCCAGGCCAGCCACAACTGGGGGAGCTGTGGTCCTTACCCCCCCCTGGGGGACCCATCGATTTCGACACCCCTCTCGAGAGATCGTCGATGCGATGGGCTCCCCCAGGGGGGGTAAGGACCACAGCTCCCCCAGTTGTGGCTGGTCGGCTTCCGCATCGGGGGTGCAGACGGGGTGGGCCCCACCCCGAGCACCACGACCCCGCTAGCGTCTGTGCTGGTCGGGGTCCCCCCCATGCGTCAAGCAGTGGCGAAGCGTCCTGGCTTGCCTCCTAGGCCCACCAGGGAACGAACGTCCCTCCCAAGAGCCTCTTGTGGCCTCCACGAGATGTTCTTGGGACAAATTTCTGGCCGGGCCCGCCTCGTTTTGGCACGTCGGGTGTCTGCTCTAAGTAAGAGCCTCTCGCTTGTCCTCAGAGCAGCTCTGGGCTCTGAGAGCACTCCGTGGCAGGCCTGCAGGGATGCCGGGGCGGGCGGCCCCTGCTCCAAGGGAGGGCTGCCGCCACCCCCGCCACCCGCAAGGGGGGGCGCCTCCCGCCGGGGAGGCTCGGGCGGGAGGCGCCCTTGGCGCTCTCCGCCCGCGGGCGGGCCCCGTCGTCCGAGGCGTCGTGTTCTCTCCTGCTCTCTCTCTCTCCCTCTCTGCTCTCTCCCTCTCCTCCTCCTCTTCCTCCTCCTCCTCCTCCTCCTCCTCCAGCTCCTCCTCCTCCTCCTCCTCCTCCTCCTCCTCCTCCTCCTCCTCCAGCTCCTCCTTCCTCCGCCTCCTCCTCCTTCTCCTTCTCCTTTTCCTCATCATCATCATCATCAGCAGCAGCAGCATCATCATCATCTTACTCCTCCTCCTCCTCCTTTTTCTCCTCCTCCTCCTCCTCCAGCTCTTGTGCTCTCTCTCTCTCTCTCTTTTTCTCTCTCCCTCTCTTCCTCTCTTCTCTTCCTCTCTCCTCTCCCTCTCCCTCTTTCTCTGCTCATCGCTCGCCCTCTCACCGCCTTCAGCCCCAGACCTCCTCGCGCAGTGACACAGAAAATCGCGACGGGAGGTTCTCCGCTCTCTGCGGCCTCGGGGGGCCTTCCCCGGGCTTCGGGGCCGTGCAAAGACGACTCGGGATGCGAAACGGGTCCAGGGTGATGGGTCGAGACCTTCAGGAGTCGAGGTTGGGAACAAATCATGACGTCGGGGGTCTGGGTCTGCCGTTCTCATCATAGTCATCATTAGCATCGCCAACATACTAATCATCGTCGTCGTCACAATCTCCACCGTCGCCAGCGCTGCTGAGTCCACGCCACTGGCCGCCAAGGTGCAAATCGCCGCTGGACAAGGCCGCGCAGGCCCTGCAGGCTGCCGGCGGCAACGCGGGCGATCCCAGCGTCAAAGTGCCCCTCGAGGCGATCGGGCGGTGCATCGAGCAGGTCGCCCTCGTCGTCGTCGTCGTCGGACAATGAGGAGGAGGAGGAAGACGGGGAGGAGAAGAGAGGCGAAGGAGGAGGATGAGGATGGGGCCAGGTCGTCAGCCTCGTCCGACGGGAATGGAGGGGACGGGAGGAAGAGGAGGTGGCGGTGAGCGCGGGTGGAAAGAGAGGAGAAGACGGCCTTCTCAGAAGGCGGCGGGGCTTCTTAGAACGCCTTTGCCCTTCTGAGACGTTTTCTGCGTCTTCGGGGAAGGCTTAGAAAGTTTGTCAGAAGGCCGAGGGAGTTCCGAGCCTACTGAGAAGGCCCGCCCAATCTCTCTTCCCCCCAGGGTTTCGCCGCCAAAGGAGGGGGCGGGGGATGAGGAGGTACGACGAGCGCCTCCTCATCATCATCAGCATTCCGCCTCCTCCCCTTCTTCCTCGTCCCTCCTGGAGTGAGGAGCAGGATGATGATGATGATGATGATGATGATGATGCTGATGATGATGATGATGATGATGATGATGTTGATAATGCTGATGATACTGATGATACTGATGATACTGATGATGATGATGATGATGATGATGATGATGATGGTGATGCTCATGATGCTGATGATGAGGATGAGGCTGATGATGATGATGCTGTTGCTGATGATGAGGATGATGGTACAGGTACTGATACTGATACTGATGATGATGCTGGTGATGATGATGCTGGTGATTATGCTGGTGATTATGCTGATGCGGATGAGGATGAGGATGAGGATGAGGATGATGCGTATGATGTTGCTGCTGCTGATGATGATGGTGCTGACGATGCTGATGAGGACGACGACGCCGATGATGATGATGCTGATGATGATGATGACGGTGATGATCATGATGATCATGATGATACTGATGATGATGATGATGAGGATGAGGTATGAGGATTGTGATGATGAAGGCGATGTTGTTGTTGATGATGATGATGATGCAGATGCTGATGCTGCTGATGATGATGATGATGTTGATGTTGTTGTCGCTGGTGATAATGATGATGAGGATGATGATGCTGATGGTGAGTATTACGATGATGAACATGGTGATGATGCTGATGATGAGGATGAGGATGAGGATGAGGATGCTGATGATGCTGATGATGATGATGGTGCTGCTGATGATGATGATGATGATGATGATGATCATGATGATGATGATGATGATGATGATGATGATGATGATGATGATGAGGATGATGATGATGATGATGCTGCTGCTGCTGATGATGATGATGATGAGGAGGAGGAGGAGGAGGAGGAGGAAGATGAGGACGAGGAGGAGGAGGAGGAGAAAGAGGAAAAGGAGCAGGAGGAGGAGGAGGGAGCCATCACGTCCCAAAACCTCCAAACTGGAAGTTTGCGTTTTCCAGTATTCAAGGCTACGGCCCATCTCCCCGGTAGATTTCATGCTTCTATGTTCTGGGAGGTGTGTCCGTCCCTGGGAGAGATGAGGAGGATATCTAAGGATGTGGTCAGGATGTGGGGGCAGTGGCAGACTTTACCAGGGAGGAGGGACGAGGGGTAAGGACAGTTGCGTGACGAGTGGAGCCAGGAAGGAGGAGCAGAAGGAGGAGGAGGAGGAGGAGGAGGAGGAGGAGGAGGAGGAGGTGGTGAGACGGAGGTCGGACCACGAGGAGGAGAAGGAGGGGCTCTCTGGGAGGAGGGCGGGGCAGGCGGAGGACCAGGGCCGAGGGAGGCCGACGAGGGAGGCCGAGGGCGGGCGGCGCGGCGAGCAGGTGGGCGCCGCCAAGGACGTGTCCGTCAAGTACGACCCCGCGGCCGCCCGCCAGCGCTTCACGGCCACCAGCCGCCTCATGCTGCGCTGAGCGGCGGTGCGCCGGGCGCGCCGGCCGATCGGCCCCTCGGCCCTGCCGCGCCGCTGGGTGGCAGCCGCGGCCCCGCGCGACCGACGACCCGGAGATCCAGGCGTTGCATCAAGTCGGGCATGTCCCTCGACTGGAGGAATGTTCGAATATGGAAAAGAACTAGTCTGGGGACGATTTTTCCAGCACTCTTCGATGACTCTTGCGCATTCCTTGGCTACAGGTCCATTCCGACCTAGATCCCGGCGGTGCAGTTCTTGCACGCCTGGCGTTGTCGTTCGGCTCTGGGCCCGGGACCACTCGCACGGCCCGGCTCCACTGAGGCAGCGGCAAGAGGGGGAGTCTGGGGCTCTGGCCGCGATTTTTGTCCGCGATGTGTTTTAGGGTTCGGTTCGGAGGAGAAACAGCGGCACAAACATGAGCTTTTGGCGCTCCGCGCAGATCTCTTGGATCCGCGTGAGGGCCCACCCCGGCGGCGCCTCCGGCGCCGCCCCTGGCGCTCCCTGGCGCGCCAGGGAGGAGGTCCAGCGCGGAGCCGAGAAACCCGCGCGGAGCGCCAAGAGGTCATGCTCATGGCGTTCTTTCTTCTCCTGTTGGCCATGTCGGATCTCCGTGGAGGCCCAGCTAGGGGCTCTGGGGGGGGCCCCTCGCGGTGCGGTGGCCACACCGCGCGGTTGGGTCGTCGGCGGGGGCTCTCGGGGTGGCCATACGGTTCAGGTCGGGCATGTCCTGCGACAGGCGGATATCGTGAGACAAAAAGAGCATAGTCAAACCATATTCAAAAATATAGTTGGATAGAAAGCATAGTTTAAAACAACACATAGTCAAACCATCTCTAACATTTTAGGATAATCGAGCATAGTAGAAAAATAACAGAAACATCGTCCTCCGATTGCTTTTAGTACTTTTGAGTATTCCTCCTGTAGAGGGACATGCCCGACTGTAAGGGCCCTTCTCCGAGGCCGTTTTTGGCGACGGGGGCCTCCGAGCTCCCCCAAAACCGTGCAGGGACGGACCGCGCGGCGGGGACTCGTGGGATGTCGAGGTCGCCGCACCGGTCTGTCGCCGCACCGTCTTGGGGCCTCCCGAGGGTCGCGTGTCGAGGGTGCGCAGGGGGGCGGAGTTCGGTAGCGAATCATGGGAGCCTGGTCTGCCCTCTCAATTCCGTCTTCGGCGTCGAGAAGCGTCTGGGAGGCGATGAGATGGCGCGCCGATTTGGCGTCGGTGAGCGTCGACCAGCGTCGATTCGCCAAGGGGCCGACAGGATGGTATGGGAGGCCCCCATGCGTTGCCACCGAAGGGGAGAGCCCAAGGCGGGGTTGGTCGAAGAAGAGCATGCGCATCGAGGGAGTGTTTGTCAAGCAGTGGCGAAGCGCCAACGAATGTTCTAAGAACCATTTGTGGTTTGCACGAAATGTTCGTAGACAATTTCTGGCTGGGTCTGTCTATCGGGCTTATGTTCTAAGAACACTGTTTTTTGTTATTACAACATTTGTGGGTTCTACGAACATTTTGTGGTAGGTGTATAGGTCTAGGAATGCCGGGACGGTCGGTCCCTGCTCAAGTTTGTTCGTGTGGATGTTTGTGATCAAGGCGGGATTGCGGAACGCGCCCGGCTTGAGGTTGTTGATGCTCTTCCTCCTCGACGGGCCGTCCAGGGCGATGTTCCTCCGAACCCACCTTGGGCACCACCCCACCTTGCTGCGCTCCCCCGAGTTTGGCGGCGCGCACGCTGTCTGCGCGATAGCCGGTCGCCCCATGGATCACCCCATGCTAGTCGTACAGCCGCGCCGGTCATCTAGTAACCTCCTCCTCCCCCTCCGCTTAGGGCTTGCAGCTCTTGGGACGTTGGATTCGGCATCGGCCCTGGTAGAACATCTGCCGAACTATGGCTTGATCCAGCCTCGCCCCACTCCATCCCGCTAAATCTGGGCAAACTCCTTGCGCGAGCTGGCCAAAGGCTCAACAGCCGTTCAAGCTGGCCAGATTAGCTCTTCACCGTTCTTGCGAAGGCTTCCTAGGAGCGGAGTTGACTCCCCAACTTCCTGACATCTGGGAGGGAGGGGGAGGGAGTGAGCGAGGGACGCAGAGGGGGAGGAGAAGGAGGAGGAGGAGGAGGAGGAGGAGGAGGAGGAGGAGGAGGAGGAGGAGAGGAGGAGGAGGAGGAGGAGGAGGAGGAGGAGGAGGAGGAGGAGGAGGAGGAGGTGGAATCCGCCTTCCCCTGGCCAGCGCCCGCTCGCAGCGCTGGCTGCAGGACGGGAGCCGAAGTCTGGGCGGCCCCTCCCTCTCTGACCGAGGGGCCCCCGCACGCGGCTTTTTCGCTCCCCGGCTGACGCCGCCCCGCCCTCCAACGTTCGGGGGTGGAGAAGAGGGGGGTGATGACTAGGGGAGGGCCATGATTTCATGGCGTGGGCCATGAATTTCCTCAGATTTCATGGCGCCTCTTCTTGTTTCATTACGTCCCTGGCCCCCCCGCTGGGCCGCGCACATGCCGCCGGTCATGATTTGCACCCCCCCCCTCTTGGACACCCCCCACTTGGCCGCTCCCGACAACGTCTGGTTGGGCCTGCGGGGTGAGCTGAGCTGCACCCCTCCGGGGCTCTGTTTTGGGGGCACTGCTGGGCCTCGGTGCCCTGTGCAAGCCTCCATTCGCGCCCCCCTTCCTGATCCTGTGGGTTCGGTTGGGCCTCCCGTTCTGGACCGTCCCTCCCGACGACGCGCTGTTGTGCTCGCAGCGTGCGCCCCCGAAAGTCTCGGCTCCTGTCCTTGGGCGGGCTTCCCCACCCCGAGCCCCGGGCCGTTTTCTAACGTCCCCGCAGCCAGGGCACGGCTCCCGGAGGCCGAATGATGGGAGTTGTTGTTTTTTGTTTTTTGTTTTTCTCTGGCAAGTTTACTTGCACGGGGTTAGGGGGGCCTGAAGCTGAAGCAAGCCGCAGGCGACCCGTACGTGACGTGCCGAAGCCACGCAATTCGAAAGGCACCAGCACGCTGGTATGCGTTTGAACAGGAGCGAGGGGAGGGGGCGGGGGGAACGCCATGCAAGTAAATTTGCCTGAGCCTGAGAAAAAAGCAGGCGCTGGCAGTTCCAGCAGCGCCCACAGCGAGCAGCCTCCCTGATTCTCCTCACGATGCGCCAGGGGCCTGAGCCCATCCCTTCTTTTCTCCCCCTCCCGCTTCCCTCCCGCCATCTCCTCCTCCTCCTCCTCCTCCAGCCCCTCTGGTTCTGGCCTGTTTGGAGGAACTGGGGGCACCTCACACCGAGGCAGAGTTGATGCAGGTCGCCCTCCCACAGGACCTGCGCGAGCCGCCATGGCGCCAAAGCTGAGGTCGACCCTCCGCCTCCTGGCGTTCAACCCGCTCCACGCCGTCGGAGTTCGGCTCGCGGAGCTGCTGATCGGCTGTCGGGCTGCGGACGTGCTCCTCCTCATGGGCACCAACCAAGGTGCAGTGCCACGCTGGAGGAGAGGGAGTGCTCCGCCGACGATGCGAAGGACGGCTAGTGCTGGAGGCGCCGTACACCGAGGGGGCGCACACCAACCACAGCGCAGGGTGCGCCATCGCGCTGGGGGAGAGATTCCGCGACTGTCACGTTGTCCGAACGTGGGGGTCGCCACCTGGTGCGGGAGGACGGGCCCACGCGGCTCGGATTCGCAAGGGCTGCCTCGACATTCTCGTTGGGGTCATCTACTTCCCGCCACAGCCGAGGGAGCGCATCCAGGTCAGCCGCTACCTTCATACCGCGCGGTTGCTGAGACACTGGTGGCAACAGATACTTCAGGAGGCGCCTACGAGGACGTTACCAATTTTTTACGCCGACCTGAATGACGGGCTGGGGATCCAGAAGCAGGCGGGGGGATGGTCAACACCGCCGTCTCAGGCTCTGGGACACCTGCGTTGCCGCGAGCAGCGACGAGGAGGTGCTGGAGAGTTGGTGAGGTGCTAACTGGATGCCCAGCACATGGCCGCCCCGTCCACTTTCGCGAACAAAGTAGAGTACACAAACTACACGACCAGGACACCATCCTCGGGCTCGGTCATTGATCATTTTTCATCCCGCAGGATTGGCTCCCCCGCGTGCTGCGCTGCCATGTTCTGAACGGGTTGGGAGCACAGTGGCAAGTGCTGCCTGGGGCGCCGCCGAGGGACCACCTTCTCTTCCTCCTCGAGCTAGCGTGCGAGAAGGATGCCTGGGCCCTGCCGCCGATGCCCCCACCGCGCCTGGACTCCACGAGGTTGATGCAAGCTGTCCGCCACGGAAGGGGGAAGAAGGATTTCTTGGAGGATGTTCTGAGACGGATTCGGGAGAGGAGTGAGTAGATCGATGGATGTACGATGGAGGGTACCCCCGACGCGATCTGGGAGGAGCTGGAGAACTTCCTCACGGCGTCGGGAGCCGCGCACTTTGGGGGAACACCTGGAGGAGATGCGCGGAGCAAGCGGTGTGCTAGACGACGTGAACATATCCAGGAACGTTCCCGACTTCGACGAGCACGACTGGATGCAGTTGAGGATCGACTTCGGGAGTTGGAGGCCGAGCTCAAGACTTTCTCGGCAGAGCTGAAGTCGGAGCACCGCGGCCGCAGGGCCGCAGAGAGGAACCAGCTCCAGGAGGAGGTAAATGAGGCCTGGGAGAGGAGGGACATGGCCGAGGCGATGCGTCTTTCACGGCTACTCGGACATTGCCGACTGGGCGCGAAGCGTCGAGACGGACGCCGCCTCGGCCCCCCTCCGCTGCCACGGTCGGAGTGGGTCGAGGCTTGGGGGAGGCCCGGCGCCCAGGGGGGTATGAGGGCGCACGAAATCGATTGGAGTGAATGGCGCGCTAGCAGGACAGGCACTCCCCCCGCCCCACCCGCGGACTCCATGGACACCAGTTGCGCACAGGAGGGCTCCGAGGAGCTGAGGCGCTATGTCCGTCGCGCCAAGAGGAGGCGCACAGTCCCAACTGGCGCGGCGGCGCTGGAGCTCTGGGGTCTTTGCCTCTGGCCCGACAGGGCCATGGATCGTCTTCCTCACGGCGTGGGCTTCGAGAGGACGTTGCAGGGGATGCAGCTGTCCGACGAGACCCTCCTGCGCGCGCTGACGTTGATCAGGCGCACGGAGAGGGCGCCCTTGCATTGGCGCCGCAGCATGGGCATAGGACTCGCCAAGAATGACAAGCCTGGCGTGAAGGGAAGGCGAGTTATCCACTCACTCCCTGCGGTGGGGAAGGGCTATTTCGCGTGCAAGCTCAAGGCGCAGCTGGCCCCGCAGGATCATGGATTCGCCCCCCCCCCCCCCCCATCGACGCAGGGGGGGCTCGCTGTTGGCGACTCTGCTGCTGGCCTGGCGCCTGGAGCAGTCGGGATGGTCGCGGGTGGCAACTCTCAAGGGTATGGCGAACGCCTTCGGCAGTGTGTCCTGGGACAGATTCGATGAGGCCATCCTAGGCGAGGGTTTGGTGGAACCGCAGAACCAGAAGCTCTGCCGCGATAGGCGCCGCCTGTCAGTCGTGGAGGTGGACGCGAGCGGCAGGGCCCTCTTTTTGAAGACGGGCGAGGGTGGCCTCATGGGGGGCCCGATCGTGGCGCAGGCGTCCGCGGCGGCCTTTGTCGCGCCCGTGGACAGGTGGCCCCAGCCACTGACGCAGGAGGGGATCGCGGGACCGTTGCACGGGGGCTTCGAGGACTACTCGATCGACGTCTCGCTGTCCAAGTACGCCGACGACCTGTACCGTGTCATCCCCCTGGAGGTCGGCTGCGACATGGACGAGGCTCTCAGGAGGATGAAGCGCAGCGACGGCATCTTGGACGAGTGCCTCCTGCAGCATGGGCTGGCGCAGAATCGGGACAAGCAGGTGGCGTGCTTCATGATCCAGGGGGCGGGCTCGCAGCAGTGCAAGCGTTGGCTCCAGCATGCCATCGCAGGGGGTAGAATGGACTGACGAGTCGGGGAGGCGACGAGGTACCTGGGGCCGATTGTCACGCAGGACGCCTCGGCGGCGATCGAGGTGGAGCGTAGGGTGGTGGCTGCCCGCGCTGCTTTCTAGTGATCGTTCTTTTATTTTTTATTTTTTTTTGCTTTCGGCGGAACCCCCCGCCCCCCCCCCCCCCCCCGTAGAGAAGTTATGGGCTGATTTTGGCACCTGCTTCAGTCGATCGGACGAACTGCGGGGGCCGGCGCCCCCCCCCCCCCGTAGAAACTCGAATCGTGGATGTGTGCAACTGTGCGAACTTTTTGTGCGAACTGGAACCATAACGAAAGGGCTCAGGGGCGCCGGACCCGATCGCCAAAAAGCATGCCTCCGGTTGGGCCCTCCCCTGTTATGCCACCGACGGCCTTGTGGAATCATGAATATGTGATCCATCGTAATCCTGGCACAGCCCCGCACAATCACGCATAGCCTTGGCGCAGCCCCGCGCAGCCTCTGCGCGATTCCCCCATGGGGGGTCCCCCATAGGATTCCCTCATCGGCATCTCCCACACGATTCTCCCAGTTTCACGCCTCATGAGGCTCAAATGTTGAATCTTAAGCTATGTTGAAAATTTCAAGATGATTCAATCGGAGGTATTGACTACGGGACGAGAGCCGGACCCCCCCCCCTTCCCACCCTTGCGCCAAATGACGAAACCCAGAATACATAAACGCTCACCTATGCCATGGCAGGCTTTTGGTCTGCCAGCACGCCGCGTCGCTGGCGGCGCGCTGTGCTGATCGGTCTAGCGCAAAACACCCTCCGGTCGGCACTTGAGTTTTTTTTACTCAGCCCCCGCCAATTCTCGCTCCTTGACCACTGCCTCGCCTCCCTCTGCAAGATCGCCATGCATGGGGCCGCATGTGAACGCAATGAACAAGGGGAGGTCACGGACCGCATGGGTTCTCTAGAGATTCCAGCCTCTTGGGAATTAGTGCCGTGCGAAACGGAGCTCCGTATCCGTAGGCTTGTTTGGTACCAATCTTGGGCCTCTCGGACTCGGGTGCGCGCGAGCGTTTTGGCCGTGCTCTTCGGGGCCCTAGTTCTTGAAGTTGCGGAAAAGCGGCCGTGCACAGTTGATGGCCTTAGTCAGTTTGCGAGTCCCTGGGCCAAACGCATCCAGGATGACGCTCGAGCCGCGACCGAAGTGATGCCCCATGACAGGGATGTGCTTTTGCGCGTTGCTGACTGCCCCTGGCTCCGTATCGAAGATAAAGAATTATCGGAGGATTTCGTTCGCCTGGATTTCAGGCGTCTGCGCAGTTACCATTTCACGGCCACGATTCCGCCCCCGGGCCCATCTCGTGGTGTCTGCGACCCTGGGGCCCCTGGTGGGCTCGACCCCCCCCTGTCCCTGCGGCCCCGTATGTTTGTTCCTGGACGAAAAGGGAGGGGACGCAATGTGGCGATTCTCACCGAACACTTGAGACACAAGCGCGGCGCTTATGATTTAGCTGCTCTGCTTGGCCCGTCTAATGAATGTATCGCGTCTAGGATGATTTTCTGGAATAGGCAAACGGCCTATCGACGCCTCGAGGGCTCGATACTCAGGGGGCACTGCAGAACGAGAGGGCCGAGTGCGATTGCGACCAGAGCTGAACCGAGGGATCTTGGGTGCCGCATTTGTTTGTGCGAGTCGGCCGACTACGACGACCTCTGTAGCCATCTTCGGGCTCATCTTCCCTGGTAGGTTTCCTCGGGGGCGTGTTTTCTCGCGCGACAGCGACTCCGCCATGAACTCGGACGTGGCGATGCCCGCGTGGATGGCGAGGTCGGCCTCGCCCCCTGCATCGGCGCCGCGCCAGAAGCGGGGCAAGGCAGGCAACCCCAAGGAGAAGGCCGGCCAGCTCCTGGTCGTCATCGCGAAGCTCGCCCTCACCACAGCCAGACAGGCAGCGCAGCTCGAGAGTGTGTGCTACACCACGATGCTCATCAGCGAGGCCGACGGCAGCCCGGGGCAGGCGCGCCGCAAGAGTGGCATCGAGTACGACGGCGAGAGCAAGAGGCTCCGCGAGAGGGCCGCGGGCGGCGAGTCGGTCGACGTCAAGGCCCGCGAGCCGCCTCACGTCCACCTTTTCGGCGCCATCATCAAGCGCAGCATGGAAGTTACGGCGTCGGGGGGGGGGGGGGGGGGCGCGACCCCGAACGCAGACGGGCGCAAGATCTTCCTAGAGTACTGGCAGCAGGTCTTAGTCGCCAAGAAGCCCCAGGAGATCGCGGAGCAGGTCCTCCACTGCAAGTACCGCAGGGCGAGGACCACGGGAGAGGACGCCAAGGGAGTCCTGTCGTTTGTGCTGAACTCGAGGGTGCCGACCGCCAACTCTCTGTACCCGACCCTAGCGGACTACCTCTCGAAGGTGGAGAAGGCGGAGGCGGTGCACGGGCCAGCGCCGAGGGGCCCCCTGGAGCGAGAGGCAGGCAACCTGCTCCAGGCTCTCAATCAGCTTTGATGGCCAGCAGTGAGAGGCTGGCTTCATGAATTGCCAGGGGTATTGTCAGCCCTGCAGTTTTGTCCGCCACGAGAGCGGCGACGGTGTACGCATCGCCGCTTTTGCCCACATCTGTTGTCCAAGTGTTGAGTCCGACCCGCCGTGCATGTAGAAGGAGAGGAGCGGGAGGCGGGGGTGCTGCAGCTCCGAGCCAGCCCGTGTCTGTTGCCCCCGAACCAAACTTTTTAAGGCGTGCCTCGCATCCCGCGCACGTATTCCTCCGAGGGAGGTCAGTGCTGCGGAGTCGTGAACCAGCAACGAGCGATGGAGTTTATTTCTTACCCACGCCAGGAACGGCTCGCGGATGGGACGGGCGGGACGTTGGAGGGTGGGTCGGGAGTGACGGATCCGCGAGCTGGTCCCCGTGCGGGGGGCACCCGCCTGGCTGCGCGCCAATCGGCGGGCCGCTCCCTGGGGCCGTGCGGGCGGCGCCCGACAGGCCATGGTGGCCACAACAATTGACCAGTCCTCTTTCGATTGTCGCGAAGCGACGCCCAGGTGCGAGACAGCCGCGGACTTCCGTCTTGCCGCGCCCAAGGGTTCCGAGCCGAGCGAGCCTCCTCCTCCTCCTCCTCCTCCTCCTCCTCCTCCTCCTCCTCCCCCTCCTCCTCCTCCTCCTCCTCCTCCTCCTCCTCCTCCTCCTCCTCCTCCTCCTCCTCCTCCTCCTCCCTCCTCCTCCTCCTCCTCCTTCTCCTCCTCCTCCTCCTTCTCCTCCTCCCCTTCTCTTCCTCCTCCTCCTCCTCCTCCTCCTCCTTCTCCTCCTCCCTCCCCCCTCCCTGCGCTTCCCCTTCCCTCTCCACCACTCGGTCTGGGCCCGCCTCTCCCTCTCCTCCCCCCCCCCCTTCCGCCGGAGCCCCCCGCGCCCCTCCCGCCGTGCCGCAGGCCTTCCTGGGGCCGTGCATGGGCGTGAAGCGCAGGGTGGTGCCCACCGGGGCCCTGGACGCCAAGGCGCCCCCCCCCCCCCCCTGGGAGTGCGGCAGGCAGGGGGAAGGAAAAGGAGAAGAAGAGGAGGAGGAGGAGGAGGAGGGGATGGCGAACATCCAGGAAGTAAATGTGCAAATATGGGAGGCCCTCGCTCTCGACGTCCAGGAGAGGGAAGCACACACACACAGGCACAAATAATCGTCGATTCCTAGGAAAACATACGGGATGGAAGGGGATCAGAGGAGGAAGAGGTACCCATACCGCTACCGTTCCATCGTGGCCGCTGCTGCTGGAATCGCTATGAAATTCTGGTCAGAACGCACCCCGGGAGAGGTCTGGGGAGTAGCGGTATCCGTACCTTTTGGTTTCCCCAGTGGAAGACGAAAATCAAGAAATTATTGGATGCCATGGGAAATCTCGGGATTTATGTTAATTTATTTGTGTGTCCCTGGGCCCCTTCAGCCGCAGTGCCAGGTCGGGCCCACCTCACTCCTTCCCTGTAAGCTCACCCTGCCCCCTGGGACGAAGCAGCGGGCGTGACGGTTGCCCTTGGCACTCGAGCGTTTGCGAATATTGCGTGTTCATGTTCACGCCCATGTTGGGGAACGCGCGCTTGAGTTACATGTCTAGCAGGATGCGTATAGTGATTAGGTGTCAGGCGTTTTCATGTTTCATAAGTAGTTTCAGAATTATGTTCTGGACTGCGGCGCCATGCTGCATTTTAGAAGATCAGACCTAACATTGTGCCTCACATTGATGCGGCTGCTCCGCGAACATGCGCCGCATAATGGGGACTCCTAGACGCAGGCTGGTTCCAATTGCATCTCAGAAGCTAGCCTGACTCCACTTGCTTATCACAACCTGCTGCATCACATTGTGATTCACATCTCGAGTCCTGGGGTCCGAGGTCATTTTCGCTATCTCCACACGTTTGGGAGGCATCCCTCTTTGGAGATTGGGGTGGAGAGGACCTTGGGCTCGCCAACTTGCCGCGACCGCCCTGGTCCATTCGGGGTGAGACGGCGTGTGCGTGTTTTATATATATATATATATAGATACATGCATATACATCCATCTCTCTCTTTCTGACTGGGGGGAACATTTGTTTTCGAGCTCGGCCTTCGGGCAGGAGGGCGTTTGGGACGAGTTCTGTGCGGAGTGTCCGCATGGACATTTATGTTATGCCCCCCCCCTTCCCTTGTCCTGCAAGGACCCCCCACACCCTGAAGCCAGTGAGTTGGATACGCATCATGCGGTTGGTTTGGGCGCGAGTTGGATGGAAGGACATGTGGCGCAGGTCTTTCTTAGACTCGGCCCTCGTGTGGTCAGGCACGGTGGCCCTCTGCATGTGCATCCAGCGTCTTGGCCTCAACTTGTTCTCAGGGCCCGCGAGACCAGGATTTTGACTTTCACAAACTACGACTTTGGCAAGTCGGGGAAACGACTAGCCAAAGTCCTGGCTGCAGCTCTACAAGCCAGGACTCTGGCATATTCTGTTTCCCCGGCAATCCAACGTCCTGTTTTGTCAAAGTCCTGGTTTAGAGGGCCCTGATGTGCCGCATGAGGATCCAGCCGCGTGCGTTTCCAGACACGCGATGCCCTAATGTTGTTCGATACGTGTTGCCTGGCTGGTTGTTCATCCCGACCCCTCTCCCAGGGCCAGCTTTTCTTCCCGAGGCGTCTTCGGTCGGTCCCGGGGCCTGGCGGCCGAAAATGGCCAGAAACCTTCCGTCGCGATGTTTTCGCGGCGCGAGCACATCGGCCCCCTGTCGGCTCTCAATGAGCGATTGGTGGTCGGATGGTTTTCTGGTCATAACTCGGGCTTCCGGCAGCCGTTCGGGAAGATTCTGGCACCCCGGGAACGCGCTCGGCAAGGCGCAGCTGCTGGAACGCATTCCGAGACTGGAAAGCCCCCGCGAACCGACGAAACCTACCGAACACAAGGGCGCCCTCGAGGGCGCGAAGTTATTCGCGCTTCGCGGTTCGGCTCCAATCCCTCCTCACCCTCCTCTTCTCTCCTGGGAGGCGGCGCGAGAGCGCGACGTTGTTCGCGCTTCGCGCTCTCGCGCAGCGCGCAGCGCGAAGTTGGGAGCCCTTGCGAACACCTGGAGCTCCGAGTCCGCAACGTCCGAGTCCGAGCGTCGTCGGCTTCGCGGCGGCTGTCCCGGGCACGAGGAATCGGTGTCACCCTTTATGGGGACCCAAAGAATCTACACCACCACCACGTCGATTCCTCCTCTCTCCTCTGCCCTCCTCTTCCTCTCTCCTCTCTCCTGGGAGAGGGGGGGGGGTGAGGGAGGTGGTGGAGGTGTATATCATTTTTTGCCCCCCCCCCACCCCGAATTCGGCTTCCAGCTCCTGGCCTCCGTGCCCCCTGCGGTCCCCGGGCGGCGCGGCACGCGCGGGCCCGAAGGGCACAGCCGCGCGCCCCGCTCGCCGGCGGCCCCCCCCCGCAAACCTCCCTCCCGCGCCCCGCAGAGGCCGGCGGCCTCGCTCACCCGACGCGCCTGAAGGGGCGCGTGAAGAGCTACAACACGAAGAAAGGCCCCTCCTCCTCCTCCTCCTCCTCCTCCTCCTCCTCGTTCTCCTCGTCGTCTTCGTCGTCCTTCTCCTCGTCCTCCTCCTCTTTCTCCTCCTCCTCCTCCTCCTCGTCCTCCTCCTCCTCCTCCTCCTCCTCCTCTTCCTCCTCCTCTCAGTCTCCGCCCCCCGACGGGAGTCTGGCCTGCGGTCGAAGAGGCCCGTCGTGCCGAATCGTTCTACGTCGGGGACGGTGGTGGTGTGGTGATGACGAGGGTGGTCAGTGCGAGGACGACGACGACGACGGGGCTGATGTTGATGGTGAGGAGGAGGAGGAGGGCGATGACGATGGCGATGACGATGACCTCGACGACGATGATGACGATGACGAGGAGGATGGTGATGTTGATGTTGATGATGATGATGATGATGATGATGATGATGATGATGATGAGGATGAGGATGAGGATGAGGTTGATGATGATGATGCTGATCATGATGCTGATGATGATGATGATCACGATGATAATGATGAGGAGGATAATGTGAATGAGGCTTTTGATTGTGCGGAAGATGATGCTGATGATGACGATGATGATGATGACGATGTTAATGATGACGATGTGGATGATGTTGATGACGATCACGGTCACGAACGCACCCTCGAGGATGTGGTTGTTGATGATGATGTTTGGAAAATAATGATGTACACGATGATGCTGAGGATGATGTTAGTGGTGATGATGTTGCTGCTTATGAGGGTGGTGATGGTGATGGTGATGGTGATGAAGATGATGGCGATGTTGATGATGCTCTAGGCGATGAAGGTGGCGATGACGACGATTACGATGGTGATGATGATGATTCTACGATGACGATGGCGATGGCGACGAAGATGACATCGACGGTGACGACGGTGCTGACGAGTAGGATAATCATGCTGAGGGACATGATGATGAGGATGAGCATGAGGCGGATGCTTGAGCGGTGGATGATGATGATGATGATGATGATGATGATGATGATGATGATGATGATGATGATGATGGTGAGGTTGATGATGACGATGCTGATGAGGACGATGCTGATGATGCTGATGACGATCACGAGCACGATGATGAAGATGTTCCTGCTGATGATGATCGTGCTGATAATGTTTATGATCATGAGGACGAGGATGAGGAGGGTGATGAGGACGATGATGATAATGATGATGAGGATGATGATAAGGATGACGATGAAGATGATTATGCTGATTATAATGACGGTACCGATGATGATGATGATGATGATGATGATGATGATGATGATGATGTTGATGCTGATGCTGATGATGGTGATGGTGATGGTGATGGTGATGGTGATGATGATGATGCTGATGATGATGATGATGATGATGATGATTATGATGACGATGTTGAAGATGTTGCTGCTGATGATGATGCCGATGATGCTGATGATGAGGACGATGATGCTGATGATGACGAGGAGGAAGAGGGGGAGGAGGAGGAGGAGGAGGAGGAGGAGGAGGAGGAGGAGGAGGAGGAGGAGGAGGAGGATCATGCTCTGGCGTGAGGGTGGGGATGAGGATGAGGATGATGGCAGGAGGCCTTGACCTGGAGTCTCAGACTATTGGCAGGGCCGTGCCGCACCGCCGTGGCGGCGACCCCCGCGCGCTAAGGGCTCGGCGCCGCCACCGCCGAGGCCGCACGAAGCCGCGAACGCTCAAGGGCGAAGGGTTGCCCCACGGCACGCCTCGAGTCCAGGAGCACCGGGAGGCCTCAGCCTCAGAAGCGCTCGGCGCTGATGCTATCGGGGATTGCGCTCTCCTCCCTTCCATCCCCCCAAGCTGCCCCCTTACCACCCCTGAGAGGTCTTAGAACCCCCCCCTCCGAATAGGGGGTAAATAGTAATCGTTCGGCGGCCTTAATGAAGGACTGGTGTCTCACCAACTAGGGTCTCACCGACTGGGGTCTCTCCGCGACGCCCGCCACGCAACAACGATGACGACAGCAACGACTACGATTGCGCCTACGACTACGACGACGAGGAGGAGGAGAAGGAGGAGGAGGAGGTGGGAGGAATGAGGAGGGAGGAGGGAGGAGAAGGAGGAGGAGGAGGAGGTTGTAGGACCAGTCCCATTCACCGCCGAGTAAGAAGGGGGCGGGACCAAAACGGGAGACATTTAGCGGTTAACTTAAAATGAATTTCTTGGGAGGTCCAATACGTTCAGCCTCGGCGCGGGGTGTCCGTGGCCAAAACTGGCCCACTCTTGCGCAGTCCCGCCACATCCCGCACAGTCTTTCTCAGTCAGGCCTAGGAACACCTTGCCACATTCCGCACAGTCCGCCACATCCCCAGGCTTACAGTGGAAACCCATGCCAAGGAACACCTTGCTTGCCTCCAGGGTGCCCTGGGTTTCTTGGGTTTTGATGGTGTTGCTGTGGAAGGCGTGACGTTCGCACCCAAAAGTCACTGGACGTCCTGGGGTCTCAGGATTGGGTTTCTTGTGAAAGGTTTCTTGTGGTCGAGCATCTGTTGTGATCAGTGGCCCTCCAAGTGGCCTTATTCGGGTTTACTCGCTCTTCATTCCGCTGACGACGACCTCCCAGGAGTTGCCTCATCACCTATCGACCAAAGCACAAAGCGATACCATCCCACCCACGACCCGCCGTGCCGCATTGTTGCGACCCTTCCCCGGTGTTTGCCCTCGGAGCTGGCCCGGCCTCCGTAGAATGCCACGCCGAGACTGCGTCAGATTTTCAAAATTGCTGAGTCGTAGGTGGGGTGGTGTCGTTTGGGTTCTGGGCCAACCTACTGCCTTCCGCGGGCCGCTGACCCCGGGCAGGAGGAGGAGGAGGAGGAGGAGGAGGAGGAGGAGGAGGAGGAGGAGAAGGGGAGGAGGAGAAGGAGGAGGAGGAGGGATGAGAGGTGGGAGGGGGAGGGGGAGGGGGGAGGGGGGAGAGACGAGGAGGCAGGGTGGAAGAGGAGGAGGGAGGAAAGGAGGGAGGGGTAAGAGAGGAGAGGAGAAGAGATGAGGAGGAGGAGAGAGGAGGAGGGGGAGGAGGTGTATGGAGGAGGAGGGGAGGAGGGGAGGGAGGGAGGGAGGAGGAGGAGGAGGGAGGAGGGAGGAGGAGGAGGCGGAGGAGGAGGAGGCAGCAGTGCGGCCCTGATCGCCTGCCCCCTGAAGGGGGGAGGGCGAGCTCAGACCCCGGCGAGCGATCGAAAAGTCTGGCAGACGGGACCCGCTGGCTGGAGGCCTTTGGCATCGCCCGGATGTATACATAAACGTAACCTGTTTGCGCTCCGCCTAACATAACATAGCAGAAGCATGCGCTCTGCCTAACATTGTAACGTATAACATAAACATAACATACATAGACATAACATAAGCATAAACATCGCCCAGACGTGTACATAAACGGATTTCTTGGATCCGCGCCTGGGCCCCCCAGCGGCGCCTCCGGCGCCGCCCCTGGCGCGCTCCTCGCGGCAGGAAGGGAAGGCCCAGCGCAGATCCAAGAAATCCGCGCAGAGCGCCAAGAGTTTATGTTCATGGCGTGTTTTCTCTTTTCTGTTGGCATCGCTCGGACGTGTACACGTTTCCTTGCGAGGACATTCGGGTTATGATGCTCCAACGAGCACCGAGAAAGTGTCGAAACTGCAAGATTTTTACGTGTCGGGCCCTGGGGGGCGATACTCGTTCGGCACTTCGCCAGCGTGTCGGGCAGGCAGTGCTACGATACTTGTCGGGGTGCTTGAAGTTATTTCTGGGATGCGGTCCTCAGGCACGCTGGGAACAGTATAATCAAGGAGCATCCTGGATCATCGTGCGAAACATGAGCGCATATTAAGCCGACAAGTGCACTGGGAATGGGCGTCCGAGCGATGGCAAGTACCGTGAGGGTATTTTTGCACGCCGGGGGAGGGGCGGGAGCTAGTCCCCCCCCCACAGGCATGGCGCGGTGCTCAGGGGCATGCTGTGGTGCTGACAGGCATGCCTTGGGGTGCTCACAAGCGTCAGGTCGGGCATATCCCCCTACAGGCGGATCTTGGACGACAAATTAGGAACAGTAGGAAATGCACACAAAAAAAACCAAACATACTCGAACAATCGTTCCCAGACTATTGTTCCCTATTTTTGTATATTCCTCCTGTCGAGGGACACGCCCGATTCAACACAAGTGTCGCTTGCCCCCCGCAGGGCCGACCCCCGCCCGAGGCGGACGTTACTGGGGAGGGTCTAACAAAGATTCCCCACGGGATGGATCTTCGAAGGCGGAAACACCGCGACGTCTGGATGCACACGTGTCCAAATCATCGACAACACGCTGCAGATACACCGACCGCGCCCGGCGATCCGCCTGCGTGGCAGCGCGCGGCAGCGCGGGCGGCGCGAAGAGAGCACGGCACATACAGAACTTGCTGGACCTCCGCACAGGACGTGCTGGGCCTTCCACGGCGGCGCCTGCCGCGCCTGCGGCGCCGCCCCTGGGGCGCGCTCCGCGCGCGCTTGTGATGCAGACGGGGGGCCCAGCGCAGCTTCAGGAATCCGCCGCGGGCCCTCGATTGTACAGTTTGAACCTCTTCCTGGGCCTGCTGCCACCTGCGAACCCTTCCCAGCGTCGGAGGAGGAAAAGGTAACCTCATACTGCTACCCTTCGCCCGTTTCCCCTTTTGGGGGGCCCCTTGGAGGCCCTCGTCGCCAACGCTGGATTTGCCTCGAAATCCTCGTCTGAACGCGTCCCGGGAGAGGACAGGGGAGTGGCCGTATCGGTACCTTTTGCTCTCCCCACAGCGGGTCCAACGTCGACGCAGGGGTATCGGACACCCCCGCCGGGTTTCGCTCGGCTGCGGGCGCCCTCCGAGCTCTGAACCCTGACCGGCGCCCCAGAATTCTGATCTACAGGGGTAGGAATCTCATGTGTGGCAGCCTGATAGGGGAGTAGGGTGAGGAGGAGGAGGAGGAGGAGGAGGAGGAGGATAAGGAGAAGGAGAGGGCCTCAAGGCGTCCCTGCGGTCAGGAA